ACATCTTTTCACTGCTATGGAACCAACCAGCTAGTTTCCCAGAAGCATAATTTCCCTAAACACATGTTTTTGGTGTCCTGAGGTTAGATATAACTGGTCAATCTACTTGTAGACTGATACACACCAGAATGAAAACACCCACAAGGATAAGGATTTTCATGTTTTGTTCACTGATATATCCCAAGTACCTACAACAGAGCCTATAACATAGTAGGTACTCAATAAATATCTGTTGAATAAACACACACTATCATCACTTACACAGCTCAGAACTTCACTCAATTTTTATAACATTCTTCATGAAGTAGCAGCATTATCACTTAGCCTCAAAACACTGAAGGGAAATGAAAATATTTTTCTACACACTCTATAGGGAATCAATAACAGAGGCCAAATTGGAACTTAAGAATTCCTATCATCTTTGTTATATGGTAATACCCACTCCCCCATCAGATTAAACAGACTAGTCTGACAACAAGGAAAGAACTGGATAGCAGCCAAATCCAACCGAGCCAGTAAGTTTTCTCTACTAATTTATTAAAATGTAATTTACAAAAAATGCAATTTACTAATTTGAGTCATACCAGGAAAAACCTGATTTGGATTTATTTTTCTACCCAAAGATAAATTTGAATTCAGAATAAAGATAAATCATTTACCTCCAAGTATGATACTTTCAGAGTAAATTCGAAGTCGCTCCTTTTATCAATTTCTTTGAAGAGCAGTTGTATTACCCTAGGAATGACCCCAACTGTTGGTTCATTCTCTTGCTCTGCAGTGTATGTACCTCCCATTGAATAGGTTTTTCCAGAGCCAGTCTGCCCATAGGCCAGGACAGTTGCATTGTATCCTGGCAAAACAGAAGTCACATGCATAGTGGTGCTGAAATATTTTCATCCAATCAATATACTCCATTTCCTTCAGCAATTACTTGTAACAAAACTGAGACTGCTCTCTTAAGACAAGGGTCTCTTAGGAATAACAGAGAAAAGTTATATGGGTGCTATGACTTTTTGCTACTCTAAATAAGCAAAGAAGAAAAATACCAACCCCAGAACGTGTGCCCTTCTTGATAGCCCTTAAAAGCTGGGAAGTAGGGGGTAGGCCCTGTGGCCGAGTGGTTGAGTTTGCGCGCTCTGCTTCACAGCCCAGGTTTCACCCGTTCAGATCCCAGGCGCGGACATGGCACCGCTCATCAAGCCACGCTGAGGCGGCGTCCCACAGAGCACAACCAGAGGCACTCACAACTAGAATATACAACTATGTACTGGGGGGTCTTTGGGGAGAAGAAGGGGAAAAAAAAAGAAGATTGGCAACAGATGTTAGCTCAGGTGCCAATCTTTAAAAAAAAAAAAAAAAGCTGGGAAGTAAAAATCTTAAAGGTATGACTGCCAAGTCACTGTCAAAAAAGCCATTCAGAACTTTATAATTCTACTTTCTCTCTACTTTGAGCAATTCTAAATTACGGGAATTAAATGAAAGTCTTAGAAGCTGCATAAATAGATGGGATTCCAGTGTGTATTTCTTTGATTAACAGTCTTCATTTGAAAAGGCAACAAACTTGCTTTGTACAGTCAGTGAAAGCATCCCTTCCCTATCTGAACTCTCAGACTGCATCTGGACCATATTATCAGGCTTCTCATAGAGATGTCATCATTTAAGTATGATTCAATGTGATATATATCCTTTGCTTTTTTTTCTTTTTAAAATAACTTGTTTGTCTAAACGAAAACCTGGATGTTCTCAAAGATCATAAGATGTTAAATTGAGATTTTCAGTGTAACAGATTGCTAGTATCACCTGGCATGACTAGGGAGCAAGAGAATAACATTCCATAATCTTCTGCAATACCACAGATATGTGCATATTGTAACAACTGGGGAAACTAAGTTTCAATACTTTTAATAAAATACTCAGGGCTCTGTGGTCTTGGCAACTCAGATTACAAGAGGGTGCTGTTGAGCTGACTAAAAAATACTTGCTTTGTCTTTGCAACTGAGAGCAATGTTAACCTAACACATACATATCAGATCACTTTCTACTTTATATTGCCTCTAAAGACTATAATTTAATTTTCATTGTTTCTCAAGTTAAAAATATGAAAGTAGACCTATAGTGCTCTTACTAAGCTGTGAAGGTATATTCTGAGGAGGATGACCAGATAATGAAGGATCTGGGAACCATATTGCTTCAGGAATGGCTAAAGGAAAGGAGTGGTGATTAATTAGAAAAGAGACAGAAACAGATAATGGTCTTCCAAATATATAAATAGGAAAAAGACTAACTTTATAGAAGTTATAGAAGCAGAGAAGCCTGGCAGATAACAGCTTAATCAAATGATCAGAATGAAGATCAGCAGTAACGTAACCAATCAACATCGTGTGTTGCCTGATAGGGTTCAATGAGAAGGATACAGCACCACCTCTATGATATTCCTGCTAAAGGCATACAACCCAAATCTAGTCATAAATAAACATCAGACAAAGCAAAATTGAGAAACAGTTAACAAAATAACTGGCCTGTGATCTTAAAAAGTGTCATGATCATGGAAGGCAAAAAATGACTGAAGAAGTTTTAGAATGAAAGAGACCACAGAGGAAGTACAAATAAATACAACTTGTGATGTTGAACTAGATCCTTTTGCTATAAAGGACATTATTGTGACAATTGGTAAAACTTAAATGAGGTCTGAGGACTAGATGGTAGTAATGTAGCAATGCTAATTTCATGATTTTGATGGTTGTATTATAGTTACGTAGGAGAAAGTCCTTGTTTGTAGCAAATATACACTAAAGTATTCAGGGGGCATCAGGTCAACAATTCATCTCAAATGGTTTAGGAAACAAAAGTTCTTTATGCTGTTCTCACAACATTTCTACAAGTTTGAGATTATTGCTTTAATATTTTTAAAATTTGAAACAAAGTGTTCAACATTCCCTGAGCCATGACATCATTAAAAAAGGGGAAAAAAATGTGAATAGCTGTTGCCTGGAAGAAGGCTTCTGTTTGTCTAGAGGGATGAACTAACACTGGGTAGAAATTACCAGGAAGCAAATTTCACCTCATTATAAGCTAACACAATTAGAGCTGTCCAAAAACCAATCAATAGGACTACCTTGTGAGTCAATGAGTTCCCTGTCAAAGAAAAAAATTTTAAACAGATGCTAGAAGTTCACTTAGAGATATTGCTAGAAAGCATTTTTCTTTGGATGGAAAGTGAGACTAGATGATGTACAAATGTCCCTTTCAACTTTAACAGACTCGTACACCATGGTTCCACTTCTTTTAAATAGCTCTCTGCTTTGAATCCTGAATAACCACTGTCCTAGAACAACCAGACACCTCTAAGGCACTGCTCCCTTCTTCAAAACCCTGCTATGGTCTCCAACAACACTAAAGCCTTAGCTTTGGCAATAAAGATCATTAACTGGCTAGAGTATTCAGGGGATTTAGGAAATCTTCTTCACCTAAAAGACTCTACTCATCATTCAAGACCTATCTCAAAGATTCTCTATGGTGTGAAATTCACCTCAAATCCCCCAAACAGAGATGTCATCCTTTTGATTTTCAAACCACTTTGTATGAAACCAGTGCTACTTCTATAGCAGGACTACTTTATATTTTCAAATTTTTAAATATTTCTTCTTAAAGATAGGTGCAAAAAGTTTACAATTTTTCATGTATTTAAAATTATGTATGTAATCATCTACTTTCACTCCTACCCCTGGACTTTGAACTCCTCCAGGGCCAGGAAGCTATGTTATTTATGTCTGAATCCCTCAATAGGCTTTGCAGTGCCTGGGTCTCAATTACTTGGCACACTGATCATTATCAGCACCCATCAAAGAGCTTAGACTCTAATGAGGTTCCAGGAAAAACAAACAAAAATATATACAAGTCAAAGATGAGCAGAACCAAAGAAAGCAAATACAGTATAAAACAGTATAGGGTACAGCGACTTTCACAAATGATACTGTATTAGTTCCTAGGCTCTGGGCTTTTTGAAGGCAGAACTCATGTTTCATCCATTCCTGCATTTGCAGCACGCAAGCACAGTGCCTGACACATAGTATATGCCCAAGAACAGTTTCAAGAATTAAAGTCTTACCTTTAAATATGCCTTTAATGAGTGGCACTACTGCTGTATTGAAGACTTCTTCCTGTTCAGTGGAGGGGTCAAACACAAAATCGTAGGTAAAGGATTTGTCAGTACCAACCACCACCTAGAGAAGGCAAGGGACAAGAAGTAAGGACAATGAAAGGCTAAACCACGCCCCTCACTGCCATTTGGCCCCAGCTGTTCAGAGGCAGGCCCTGGACCCTGCTACGCACGCACCTGAGGTTCCCCGGGAACGAAGGAAAGGCACATCTGGCAGCCCTCGCTAATCTCTTTAGGGACGAGCGGGCGACATCGCAGTGCCACTCTTACAGGAATTCCCTTCACTTCTTCCTTCATGATCCTACCTCAACACCGTCTCTGCAGAAATAAACATATAAATAAATAAATAAAAGATGCTTGCTGATGAACCTTGATAGGTCGGCAGGGTGGGAGGGCGTCCTCCCTCAATTCCGGCCCTCCTCAGAGGGTGGGGTGGGTTACGGAACTCAGCGGCAGCGGTGGCAGCCTCCTCCCCCCAGCGAGATCGCTTCCTCAGGAGAGACCCTCTCCAGCAGACCTGGCCACGACAGGACTGCCCATCAGCCCGACACACTGAAGAGAGCGAAGTGGCGTCTCAAGTGGAAAAGAAAACCCCCAGCGGAGACGACGACAAAGAACCAAAGCTCCAGCGTACCGGGAAAGGCAGATCCTGAGCTAAGGTGTGCTCCCTTAACTCACCAAACTGAGTGTCCCTTCCCTTGTCTCCTGCCGCCCTGTTCCAACAGGAGCTTTAACCGCCAAGTTTCAAATCGGTCTTGGAGGCGCCAGCCAATCGGAGTGCAGACAGCCTGCGGGAGGAGCACGCACGTCCGCGCGCGCAGGACGGCGCGTTGGCGAGAGGAGCGCCTGCGCGCCGCACCCTGACCCCGCCCCTTTTCGACCCATCCGGCATAAGCTTCCGGTTCCTAGGCTGGATTGGCGGTGAGCGGAGCCTGAGGTGGCTGCGACCTTCCGGAGGGTGAGGGGCTGGGCATTTATCGCGTTGTGTGCGCTGGAATCAGGCAGGATACGGAGCAGGGATCTGGAAAGTGGGAGGTGGTAAGGGAAGCGTCGATCTGGGGACTGCCACCGTTACTGATCACATCTAGGGAATCTGGGGGCGGTGCCTTGTCCCGAGTACCTGTGGATAGTTGGAGTCAGCGCTCCCTTGGACTTCGAAAGTAGACACATTTTTTTAGACGCGATTCTGATTTCTTATTCTCTAAAATGAAGACGGTAACATCTGTTTTGCAGGATTGTTGTGAGAAAGGAGATTATCTCTGTAGAGCACCTAGCAGGTTGCTTGGCATCCATATATTCAGCAAAGTTAATAGTTTTCTTCCATCTTTTTTCTTCCTTCTCTCCCCGAGTCTTTATCACCTAGAAGTGGGCTGGGCCTGTAGACTGACAGCCTTGAAATAAGTTGGGGTTGTTTTGTGAAACTTGATTGGCTGCTGTCCTTTTTAAACCATTTTGGTCAGCTTTGATTCACCTTTCCATTCCAGGTCCTTGCTGGAGATGGACAACCGGATTCCTTATGATGACTACCCAGTGGTTTTCCTGCCTGCCTATGAGAATCCTCCAGCATGGATTCCTCCTCATGAGGTGGGAACCATCTATACCCTTAAGTAGGGGATTTTCCCCCATGGGCATGAGATGATGTATGAAAGTTAGGATGGCAGGGTTAGACAGTTCATTGGAGAGTGAATCTTAGCCTTTATTGTAGCCAGGGGACCCAGAAGTTGGATTCTCAGCAACTGGGCCCATTGGGAGCTTCTTATGGAATCCTACGGCTAGAGTTCATTCACACCAGAGAATTCTGGAAATTCAGAGACCTAGTTTCCATTTTGTCAAGGTAAAGAAGTCGGGAGCTACTGAGCTGCTAGCATTTCCCCATGCTATCTGTCTACCCATTTGGACAGTGTTACCTGTTCTTCTTAAACTAAGTGCATGACTTCACCTTTTCCTGACTTCAGGGTGATGCATTTGTGTTCCAGATGAAGGTGGGTATAAAATCTAAGACTGGTAATAAGATTTCTGGGCTTGCTGTGTCTTTCAGAGGGTATACCACCCAGACTACAATAATGAGTTGACCCAGTTTCTGCCCCGAATTGTCACACTGAAGAAACCCCCTGGAGCTCAGGTGAGCTTGTGGAACAATTGCATCTTATTCCAGGCTAGATTTGTCCTTACCAGGCCCAGAAGTTGGCCATGGTTGGAGGATGGATGGGGAGGCAGGTAGGAAGGTAAGGAAACTTCCTTTTATTGGCAGAAAAGCTGAGATACCACTTCCACAACTTCTGACTTCTCTCTGAGGGACACAAGCCAAGCTATCATACAGTGATACAACTAGGTGTTCTTGTGTTTGTGGTCTATATTGAGTCTCCATTCTGTGCTCTTGTCTTACAGTTGGGGTTTAACATCCGAGGAGGAAAGGCCTCCCAGCTAGGCATCTTCATCTCCAAGGTATGTGCACCTGGTAGGCAATATGAATAGCTACTTCCCTTTGTTAAGTTATCAGATTGCAGAACCCTGATGTCCCAAGGCTTGGGAAAAGGATTATTTGGTAAACTCATAGAGGGGGCATAATGGGGACACCCTTTCCCACTTAAAACTTCCCACCTGGCAAGCCATCTGTTTCCCTACATTGTCACACACACAAAAAGAGCCCAATAGCACCTTACATTTGAGTAGCACTCAATTTCACTTACAGTCTTTGAAATTGTCCCACCTCCATCACATATATTCTCTTCTTACCAACAGGTCATTCCCGACTCTGATGCCCATCGAGCAGGACTTCAGGAAGGGGACCAAGTCCTAGCTGTGAATGATGTGGATTTCCAAGATATTGAGCACAGCAAGGTGAGCAGAGCACTTGGGCTGTGGTGAGGTGGGAAGCCATCCCAGGTAGGACAAGTTGGACAAGATTAGCCTAATCTGTAACTTGATAGGACTCTCTCCTGAGGAAGTATACCAGGGGGAAGCAGCTCTTAGTGACCTAGAAGGTTGGAGTGGCAAACTACTTTCCTGCTGTTATGATTCTGTGCTGAGTCATATCTCTTCATTTGTACAAGCTGCTATGTTTCTTCCAGGCTGTTGAGATCCTGAAGACAGCCCGTGAAATCAGCATGCGTGTCCGCTTCTTTCCCTACAGTAAGTGCCACTCTGTTTTTTACTTACCTGGGAGGGCCCTGGGTAGGAGCTCTAAATACTGATTACTAGAAGCCCCACAAGTTGGCGATGGGGAACTGGGGGCTAAAACCTGAAGATAACCTGCTCTTTTCCTCCTTTTCCCCAGATTATCATCGTCAAAAAGAGAGGACTGTGCACTAGAGAGTTGCAGCCCACAGCCTTCCACACGGAATCTTCTAGGATAAGCTGGCTAGGCCTCAGGGAAGCCACTTGGGGAACTTTGCTCTCAGCCCCATCCTGGCATAGTGGAATGGGGAGGATGGGGAGACAGTGCTGCCCTGCACTGAGCTAGCTAGCCAACTGTATTACCCAAACTACTGCCCTTTTAGTTCCCTAGTTTTCTAGGTGAGCTCCATTCCCTGAGAGGAGAAGGGTGATGATGTCTAAGTATAGCCTAACCTGTGGAGAACCCTGCTAGAAAAGGCAACTGACATTTATTGAATACCGTGTGCTAGGCAATTGTACATATGTCATATCATTTTCACTAGAGTATACAAATCAGTAGAGAAAGGAATCTTGAGGACCTTCTATCTAATCTGCCTGGCCATCTCATCCCATCCTTATACTGCCAGGCTTATACACTTCAGAGACTCCAGTGGGACCCTATTTTTACTGCCTCCCTCCTGTCCTCTCCCCAAGAAAGTAAAATGCAGTGCTGAGGAAATGTTGGTGTGATTTTTGGATGATACTGGTATAAAATACTGTTGAGTCAAAAATAAAAGCTCTTCCAAAGAGAGGAGCCACTGGAAGTAACAGAGCAAAACTATGCGTACTTCACAAGTATCTCTCTCTGGCTGGAACATTAAGGAGGCCCAGGAACCTTAGCCACAGTGGAACTAAGGAATGGCATAGGGTGAGGGGTATTGAAGGAAACAGTGCCCCTTCCCCCATGAGCTTTGGACATTTCTTTGCAGGGTGCAGTGTTAATCTAGTTCTGTCTTTTCCTTTCCCAAATTCTTTGATCTGGAACATAAACTAAGGGAGAGACTTAGATATATTTCTTTTCAGGGACAGCAGTAAGAAATTAGTTCCTAATTTCTGACTTTTAGTTTGAGTACTACTGACTGCTGATTTCTCCTTTTTCTTTACCCCAGCCCCCACATAACCTTCTGCCATGTTCTTAGTTCCTTAGTTATCAGTCCTTTGCTAGAGATTCCAAGCCATTCTTCCTGCCATTTCCATTGGCGTGTTCAAAATATCCATTCAGAATAGAAAGTTTTCTAATGAGATATGGGGTCAAGTGCGCCCATAACAAAAGTCCCAAATTTGCCTTGAAAGAATCTTGGGAAGCTTAAATACAGGTTTCCAGGCCCTTCCCCTGGAGAGTGATTCTGTTGGTCTGAGGTGGAACCTGGAAATCTGAATTTTTAAGTAAAGTAAGTCAGTCTTCAAATATGGGAAACAGTTCTGAATAGTAGTACTGTATCTCTATGAGGAACTTCTGGCTCTTCCTACAAATCCCATCCCAGCTCTATGATATCTCTTCTAGAGGCTTGGTGCCATTGTTAGGTAACAACATCCTTGTGAGCAGAGCTGGAGGTAGGTTTTAGCTGTCTGCTTCCTGTGAAATCCCCTCCTATTCTGTGCGCCTGTTTGCTTTGCTGCCCTCCAATGGCCGTCTGAGAAAGAAACTAGAGGCTGAGATACACAAAGGCATGTTGGCTGAGTCTACTGAATGTTGAGATCCGAGACCGTCTGTGGTTAATGGGCTTTAAAACAACTCATCCAAGAAGTGTAGTAAACATGGTACAAAGTCCCAGCCAGGTGCTACAGGCCTAAGAGGCAAAAATCCCCCTGCCCTAAATTGGTTCTCACTTTGAGGTACTTGGAATGGCTCTGTGTTGGGGCCCCAGTATGATGCAATTGCATTGTGGAGGTGTAGGTATAGCATGGAGAAGGCGTAAGCAGTAAGAGGCTGAGGCAAAAGGACCAGTCATTTATTGAGGGCGTAGACAAGAAAACAGTAGAGAATTAACTATATCAGCCTCTAAGGTATCCCAGCTGCTGTAGAACTGCATTCCCCCCCCCCCCATAGATGTCTTTTAGCAGTCAGAGAAGGTAAGGTGGGATTCCTGGGCCCTGCAAGAACTTTCCACCTGATAGCTGTGAGATAGTCAAGAAAAATGATAGCCTTTTCAGGTGTTCCATTTTACTCCTAAGCCCTGGAATTGGATGAAAGCTTAGTAAGTGGCCAAATATTTAAACCATAAACCTGAGGGTGCAGGAGGACTGGTACTGGGAAGCCCAAATGGAATAAATTCATCAAATTAGGCAAAGAGCCTAAGCTGTCAACAGGAACAATGGCTTTTGATGCCTGACTCTCTGGAGGGCTCCAGTTGGATTTCAAACACTGAAGTGTGTGTTAAGGAAGGTAATTAAGGTGGCTGGTGTCAAATCTCAACTCCCAGGGCAGCTTCTAGGAGACACAGAAGAGGAATTCTGATCTTAGGATCCCTTTCACCTAAAGGCAAACCAGGGAGCTACTTTGGGCTGAAGTTAGTCCCATTTTCCCTTAATTATCAGTCAGGCAGAATAATTGGCCTGACCATCAACTCAGCAAAGGAAGTTTGCCTTCTTTGTACACTCCCTACCCCAGCAAAGCTAGGAGAAAGGATATGCTCCACACTCCTCTTCCTTCGGTGGAGATGAATTACATCTGGAAGGAAGGGCGGAAGCCGCGTGCCAGAATAGCTGAGTGTGTGTGAATTGTGATGCACAAAAGAATAAAAGGTCAAGTTCAGAGACATGATTCTGGACCTTTGCACTATACAACAGGGAGGTGAACCTTACCCCCACCTCACGATAGGACAAGCCAAGGTTATCCAAAAGAGTAAGCAGTGGTGGTTAGCTAGAGACAAGAGTGCAATGGAAGTATCATAAAGAGAAATGGGTATTACACTTTTCACCTTGTAACTGGTTTTGGCACTGGTCTCAGTAAACATTGCATTGAGGTGTCTGGGTTTTTCTTCCCCCTCTTCTGCAGAGACTCATCTGGACAAATGAGAAATGATGTAAGGGACCAACCAGAAAGTGGTAAGAACCTTTCTGACCCAGAATTAGTAGATAGGGATAGAGCCCTCTGAGGTATGATGATGCTTCTCTTGGACCAGGAACCCTAGAAGCCTTGAACCCATGACCTTTCTGATCCCTGACACTGGTAATCCTCCCAAGTAAATAGAGCGCAGTAGATCCTCCCTATAGAGATTGAGCTCTAGGCATGCCAGAAGTTGTAGTAATACCTTACCTTTTGTTGTTCAGATCAGTCTTGTTACTCACCAACATGGTGATGACATCATCACCACTTTCTGCCCATAAATAATCTACCCACTAAGCTGTGTCCTTGAAAGAATTGATGTCTGTGATTGAAAGTGTTGCAGAAATTTGAAAGATTTAGTGGAGATTTGGAGAAAGTAATGTATCTGTCCTTCCTCTCTGCTAGTCTTACCAGCCTCCCTATTGTGTCCCTCAATCCCTTTTTCACATAAAACATGGCCTAACACCCACTTGTGATGTCATAGATAACCACTGCAATAGTTGAATCGTGAACGTAGCTAGGAATTAGGCTGCAAAAACGCTCCTGACCAACTGTGTCCCATAGCTGCAGCTAAACTTGCATAAAACAAGTGTTTAGAAAGAAGGTGGAGAAAGAAACTAGCCTTTTAAAGGCCAGAACTTAATAAAGGCAAAATAAAAAGAGTCAAGGAAACTGGATCCCTAAAAAGTGACTGCTATGGCCACAAACCAAGTGGCCTGCCATCCTAGGACAGGTCTAGTCTCAATACATGGTTTTGATTAAGGAAGACCCTATAGAGCAGCAGATTTAAGGATTCAAGGCCACTTGGACTTTGCGTTCCAGTTGGAGATTAGATGAGGGCAGAGCAAAAGAAACAGCACAGGGTTTGGTAATTTGGGGAGGCTTCACATTTTTCTTTCCCTTCTTTATCCACAGATAATCTGGGGTGGTGCTACCCTACTCTGATGAATAGGCCTAAAGGGTTGAGGTGTAGGGTTAGTGATATGAGAGTGAACACTCACTATTTGGTCCTGTACATGATCTTAGGAAGTCAATTCCAGTGGTTTCCTGCAAATGAGAGTCACACACTCACTCTGTACCACTCCTCTACACCTAATACCAGGCAATCTTAGAAGTGGAAGTGGAGAATGGCTCTTGAGAAGATTGTCCTGGCTCAACTTCTCAATGCTTACACTAGATAACTTCAAGAAGAGTCCCTGGGTGAGTCGGCCAAGGAAGGGGGCAAAAATGTACTGTGTGATGCCTTCCTTGGTGGTGGGCTCACCTGGCAGGTGCAGTCGAAGCTGTTGTACATGAAGTGGATGATGATCTTTGTCTTCCCCACTTTGAGGCATATAAGTAGGTTAGCCGTCACCCTGGGCGAGGAGGAAATTGATTCCCCAGAGAACCCCCTACTCCATTCCATACCGTCACACGTCCCTATCCCCAAGGCCCAACCCAGACACCCACCACTCTGCTCCCCCAGGAACGCAACTTTGTATTTGTGTACAGACTGATCCTCGGGTCTGGTTTCCGGGTGGTTTCCAGGCTGAAGCTTTGCTGTGGGCCGCATGTGCGAAGGCATACAACACCAGCAGGCGAGCGGCACTCGCTGCCTGAGGTCACACGGTGGTCTCCGCTCAATCAAAGCTGGCCACCTTCGATGTAGCCCCAAGGCCTGGGCACACGGCCATGCCCCCTCAGGCCCTGCCTGCAGGCCTTGCAGCTCCCAGCAGCTGGGGCAGTGGGTGATCACTGATGGAGTGGTGGGGTGGTGGCGGGGATGGCCAGGGCGCAAAGGGAAAGTTGAAGGACCCACAGAGGGCGAGTGGCCATGCCAGAGGGAATTTGGGGGGTCACTTAGGGAAAAGCACCTGCTACAGAGTAATCTAATCACTGACAGGGAGAGAGGGCGCTTGTTCTTGTTAGTTCCATTACCCTCCAGGAGGAAGAAATAGCAAAGAGATCACCAGGCATGTCTGGACAAGCCAATTTATTAGAGCATTACAGAGCGGCTCCCACACAGAGGCACCAGAGCAAGGTGCTCAGCTCCCCTCATCTCCCTCTGCCGCCAAAGCCTCCTGGCTCTCCTCCTCGCCGGGCTCCTGACGAGTAAACTCCTCGATGACTATGTCCTCAGAGCTTGCGAAGCAGCAGAGGGGAATGGAGGGTTAGAACAACTTTCTGAGTGTCCTCCATGTTCACTCCTTTTCCTGATCCCAGAGAGGTGATCCCTTCCCTGCTTCCCAGCTGAGGTCCTCAGCCCCCTCTCAGTAGTCTCCCACCCCCAGCCCACCCCCATCAAGGACAGTGGCTTGTTTCCCTTTGGTCCTTCCCCAATCTCCCAACACAAAAGTCCCCCATGATTGCTGGAGGGGAAATAAGAATGGAAGGTGGGAAAGAGGCTTGGGATTAAAGAGTGAAAGAGGGAAGAAGTAAGGGGCAGGGGGGTGGAATGAAAGATGAGGGGGAAGCATGCTTCCCAGAAGAGCAGGGGGTGGAGAGGGCAGGTGATGCAGAAAGGGAAAGGAGGGCATGTGAAAAGCACTGAACTATGACATGAGGCTAAACCATATGTTTCCACTGCACATGTGTTGAGAGCAATACTCCAGGGAAGCTTTTTTTTTTTTTTGAGGAAGATTAGCCCTGAGCTAACTGCTGCCAGTCTTCCTCTTTTTGCTGAGGAAGACTGGCCCTGAGCTAACATCCGTACCCATCTTTCTCTACTTTATATGTGGGACGCCTACCACAGCATGGCTTGCCAAGTGGTGCCATGTCCACACCTGGGATCCGAACCTGCGAACCCCGGGCCGCCGAAGTGGAATGTGCGCACTTAACTGCTGTGCCACCGGCCGACCCCCAGGGAAGCTTTTTAACATTTCCCTCGTCATGAAATGGAGGGTGGCCATGGGGGAAGGGGGATGTGGCTTCCAGGCCTACATTTCCTTACCTAGCAGCCTCTGTAGCAAGCATGGAGAGGGAGGGAAAAATGGAGCTGAAGCTGATAAGGGGCTCTTCAGTTCCCTGAAGAAATGTCTTGTTACTGTCCCCCCTCCCTTATTAACCTTCTCCCTCCCACACACACAATACACACACACACAACTTCCCCTGAAAACCTAGACACCCAACTGCCTATTGCTATTCAATCTCTACTCAAACTGCCAGTCCCCACTTCATGAGATCAGAACTGCTTGGTCCCCAACCCTCAAAACTACCGTTCCTGTGAGCCCCACCTGGTCACTCACCTTGTGATGGCTTTGGATGCATCAGGATTAGGGGCAGCTCCACACCAACATCGCTGCGAGGATCCCAAGGTGGAGTTACGGGTCTCCATCTGAGTCCACTCCCTGAACCTCTCTCCCTCAGTTTTCCAGTCCTGGGATGCCCTCAGACTCTCCCTCCTCACTCTTTTGGTTTTTGGTCTCCTTATCTCCTTATCCTCCCCTTCCTGCCCCAGTCTCCCCTCCCCACAGTCTCTTACCTGGCCGTCAGGTCACCTAGGATGCTGAGGGTAGAATGACACCCTAAAATTAGCAGCTGGCAATGGAAAGTGGCAACCTAATTTTACTGGAGGTTGAGGGATTGTAAGGCCAACTCAGGCACAGAATGGGTTTCTGGAGGGGACGATGGCTTGCTCACTGAGCTCACAGGTTTGGGAACCTGGTCTGGGAGAAAGGGTGGGGAACAGCTTGACTGGGTCAGTACAACTGGAAGGAAAACAGAAGCGAGACAGATCCAGCCCCTGCCCAGACAGATCCTGAACCCTCACTCACCCTCCACAGGACACCATCAGGTTGACTCTGACTTTGTAGGATACTAGGATCCCCAGCAGCTCCTTGTCCATTCCAGGTCGAAGACTGAAGGTGGTAGTATTCATTGTTGTGTGTTTGGGGGGGGGGAGTAATTCATTCAGTCCCCCAGTCCCTTCCTGTGCATTTTTTGTCTTGTAACAGGTCTCCCAGGCTCTAATCTCTCCTACTCATTGGGACCACATTTCTCTTCCTAAAACCACTTTTACCTTGTCACTCTCTGCTCAAGAGCCTACCTCTCTGAATGTAACTAGTCTGATTGGCTTTCATGACTCTTAATAATCTGGCCCCACCTGACCTTCCTAACTTTTTCTGCCCTAAGTCCCTAACACCTGGGATACAACCTCAGCAGAGCCTCTCTCCATGCCTCAGAACATGCCATGCAGATTCCCACCTTCTAGCCTTTGCCCATGCTGTGCTGCCAATCTAGAATGCTCTTTTCTTCCTCTGTTGATATCCAGATCCTACCCATTCTTCAAGATTCAGCTCATTCTATCTCTGCCAGGAAACTCTCTCCAGCTGTGCTGGCTTCTTTTAACTTCTATTGGCTTTATAATCTGAACCACATGTACTAACATTTAACTGTTAGATTGTATTTTCACTCCTCTTTGTTCCTCATCTAGGCCATAAATTGACTGAAGGCAGAGACTGTCATAAACTTCTTTGTATCTTCCCACGTTGCTTAGCATGGGAATGAGCATGTAACATGCTCAATAAAAAAACTCGCTGATTGAAAAGCAAGACACAGAAATCTGTATGATCTTGGGAAAGTCTCTTCATTGCTCTGGGATGCTGATCTTCTATCTATAAAATAATGCTGTTTGAATGATTTCTAAGAGTCTTTCTAGCGATAACAGTCTATAGCTACATGACTGATAAGGCATGAGGAGAGGTAGGGGAATTAACACTTGTCAGATGGTTTTTGGTGGAAGACACATCTAACACTAGGACCTCTGAAGGCATAGGACCAAATGAATGACTTGATAGAATTCTGTCAATTCCTATCATTCTCCTTTTTTGTCCTCCTTTTCCTCCATTTCTCATCTCCTAGTCCTCTACTCCATTTCTATCTATCTTCCCTAGAGAGTAGCTACTGTAGAGATTACAGAGTTAGAGCCAGATGCCATGTGATAGAATCCGTTCTCCCTCTGCCACTTGTTGTTAGCTATGCAAGCTTAGACAAGTTCCTTCATCTCTCTGAGCCTCAGGGTCCTTAAGTGTAAAATGGAATAAGAACGCCTATCCACCCTACTTTAATAGGATTCTTATGAAGATAACATAGTACATGTGTAAGACCTTTGTGAACTGTGAAGTATTATACAACGTAAGGAATTTGTCCTCTCCACTTTTTCCTTTCTTGTTGCCTTTGACCTAAGCCTGCCATTGGTCCCATGGGTATTACTTAGCTTTCCGTTGGCCCTCAGGCCCAGAGGGATCTCTGAACACTAGCCTAGGGACATTTTAAAAAATAAGTAGGCTTCATTGAAGGTAAAGCCTTAGAACTATACATATAGCATGCAGAATGTGTTAGGGATAGAAAATGGAGGTTGGGAGTTACATTTGAGCTTACATCGTGCTGGAGGCCAGATTGGTATCACCATGCTTGAGTTTGCCATCCAGTGCCAGGCCCTGTTTCTGGCACTTGGCATCCAGGAGTGGGGTGACCGCAAAGCTCTTGGAGAAGCTGGAGTTGGCAGCTATAGTTTCCCTTTGAAAGGAGAAGAACTTAGGCTAGGCTTGCCAACTAAGGGTACCTTCATTCCCAAGAATATCTTGCATAAGTTCATGAATCTACTGGAGTATCCCAGAGAGCTGGCTTGTCTAACTGTGGAGAATGGAAGAATTCCCTCTGGTGGGAAATCCTTATGCCCCTTCCCTCTCTCAGCATTTTGATGATCCTCTTGTAGGTATTCTCCCTATAGTTCTCCTGGGAATCCCTCCCTTTCTCCATGTCAGCCCTCACCTTGACCTTCCTCAGTCCTGGGCTCTTACCCACTTCCTTCTTACCCCAATTCCTCCTCTGCCTCCAGCCCTCTTCCCATCACCCCACCCTTTGGTTCTCTGACCCCGGCCGCAGCGCCAGCTCACGTGAACTCCTGAGTGAACACAGTCTTGGTGTACTTGTCTAGTGAATACAGGACAACATCTGTGGTCTGGTCAACTGAACAGCCAGGAAAAGCACATGACGATAATCAGTCAGTAATCCTCAAGACCCCGACTCACTGCCCTCAGGAGTGACCTTATACATGGGCACACTATGCATGATGCACTAAAATGTGCTCATGGGCAAAGATACTTATATTGATAAGCCTGCATTGGAGGGAAAGCCTAGACGAATGCAGACTGGGTGAGTGGGGCAGAGTTTTGGAAAAAGACCTGTGGATTTGGGACCAGGTGCAGGAAATAGGAAAAGAGGTTCACCTGATATCTTGATTTTTTTGATGACCTTGTTGGTGCAGTTGTTGATAGAAACATTGACAGAGATGGGTTTGCCATGGTAGTGAACCTGAAGTAGGAGGAGAGGCCCATCGCAAGGTTGGAATGAGAATGCCTGGGTCAAGACCTAGAATTGCTATTCCGTTAGTGCTATCGCCACCCTGGCTTACACCCTGTCTACCCAAGTAGAAAATCAGTGAAGAAAGGGTTTCAGAGGGGTTGCGGGGTAGGAGACAGGAAGTGGGGGTCACAAACCTCCCTGTCCATCCAGGCCTGGAGTTGTAGGGGCTGAGCTGACAGAAGGAAGCGGCGGACGGTCTGGGCTGAGGGGCCAGGGCCTGGCTCCAGGGGTGCAAACTGTATTTTCCGAATCACCAGCCTCACGGAGTCTCTGAGTAGAGGCCAAGGGGTTAGCTAGAAAGTCTCCTTTGGGACCCACAGACCTTTCCCATGCCAACACCATAGCCCAGTCTTTGCTTGGGGAGTAAAGGGGGAGGAAGGCCTCCCTCATAGAACTCCTCTAGACCCTCAATGTAGGTATCTAGACCTACATTGACCTACGGGTCAGCAAACTATGGCTCACTGGCCAAATCTGGCCTGCTGCCTGTTCTTGTATGGCCCACAAGCTAAGAACAGTTATTCCATTTTTAAATGGTTGAAAAAAATCAAAGAAAATTAATATTTCATGACAGTTGGAAATTATATAAAATTCAAATTTCAGTGTCTGTAAATAAAGTTGTATTGGAACACAGCCATGCTCATTCATTTACGTTGTATCTGTGGCTGCTTTCGCACTACAATGGCAAAGTGGAGTAGTTGCAACAGAAACTATATGGCTCACAAAGCCTAAATATTTACTTTTTTGGCCCTTTACAGAAAAGTCTACTGACCCTTGCCCTAGAGCAAAGAAGAAAATTCAGAGGGGAATCAGAACTGGGCATCTGAGTTGGTAATGATGGTGCTATGGAGGTTAGAAGTAGCGCCGCTTCTGTCCTGAGAAGAAGAGCTGTTTCCTGGTGCAGGCTGGAGGCAGGGATTTTGGAAAGGACCAAGGAGAATACCTCTTGGAGATTTTCTCCTCCAGGTTTTCAGCACAGAAACTTTTCACTTCAAAGTCAATCCCACAGGCCTGCAAAGGGGCAGAGACAAAGAGAACTCATTTCCAACACTACCCCTCCCTTCCTCATGGGCATGTAAGGAAATACCTGACCTCATCCCTTAGCTGTCTATTTCTTCAGTCTTGTCCACTTGTCCCTCTGTCCCTCCTCCCAGCACTAACCATCTGTCCAACTTTCTCAGAACCCAGACCTCACCTTTCCTGTATCTTCAGGATCTGGCTGCAGTGTCACCGAACAAGGCAGGTTGACAGCCATCTAGAGATGAGAAAGAGGTCAGCCAACAGAAGAAATAGAGACAGTTTTCCCCTATTCTCCTGCTTTAGCTTCCTCTCTTAATTTTCCCTGGAAACCTTGCCCAGGACTTGGGGTCAGTACCTGCAGAGTAAAGGGGTAAGCATTTTCCCCCAGCTTGTGCAGCAGTCGCTCCTGTAGGACTGTGAGAGGCCCCTGGGGGCTGGAGGGCTCAGGGGGGACCACTTGCTGGACCTGTACATACAGATCCTTGCGGAATGTCAAACCAATCACATCCAAGTCATCATGGCCATAGCGAAAGGCACAAGTCAACATAACGAACACTGCAGGCAAAAGAGACAGAGGGGAGACAAAGGAGTCAGGCCTGAAGGGAAAAGGAGGTCTTAAATGGCTCATAGGAAGACACGGAGAGACAATGTAATATGATAGAAACAGTGCGGCCATAAAGAAAAGAATTAATACATTTGACTACAGCAAAATTTAGAACTTCTTTACATTAAGAGTCTTTACAAACAATGAAACAAGTACACACCTGGGAGAAAATATTTGCAACACATACAACAGACAAAAGGTTAGCATTTGTAATTATAAACAACTCCCACAAGTCAATAATAAAAATAAAAATATCTCAATATAAAAGTGTGCAAAGATAGGCTCTTCGCAGAAGTGCAAAATGGAATGGCCAATAAGATATGAAAACATGTCCAGTCTCCTAAGTAATCAGATAAATGCAAATTAAAACCACAATGAGATAACATTTCACACCCATCAGATTGTCAGAAATTTTAAAGTCTGACCATACTGTGTCGGTGAAGATCTGTAGCAATAGGAGTTGATTACGCATTGCTATTGGGAGCATGTATTACTACAACCACTTTGAAAAACTGGCAGTATCTAGTAAAACTGAATCTGCTCATATCTTATGACCTAAGGAGAATTTAGAGGAATTCTTGCTCATGTTTACAAGGAGTTAGATATGAGAATGTCCATTGCATGAATGTTTGTCATGGCATAAAATTGGAAGTAATTTAAATATCTATCAATGGGAAAATAGGTAATACAGTTGTGGTATATTCATATAGTGGAATACTAAACTGAGTTTAAAATAAATAAACTAGAATTCCATGTATCAACATGGTTAAGTCTCAAAAACTATTGAGTAAAAAAAACTAGCTGCAGGATGATATGCACAATCTGATACTGTGCATATAAAGTTTAAAAGCATATAGAACAATACCAGAGTTGCTCACAGACATATCGATATGGAGTAGAAGTATAGAAACATCGTGAGAATAATAAACACCAAATTCAGGATAGTGGTTACCTGGGTGGAGGCAAGGAGAGAAGGAGGTGGGAGGGAGGAAGAGGAATGGGATTAGGGAAGGATGCATGGAGTCTTCAGTTTGTTGCTGTAATTCTTTTTAAAGCTAGGTGGTGGGTAGAGGGTATTCATTACGTAATTCTCTAGGGTCAGAATCCCTGGGCTTGACTATGACTTGTACAAATCCCTTCAGTTCTCTGAGCCTCAGTTATTTCACCTGTCAATAATAGGACTGCACTAAGAGCTCTACATATGTTATTTAGACCTGCCACCAATCCTCTGAAGTATTATTATCTCCACTTTACAGGTAGAGAAAATGAGCTCAGAGCAGTTAAGTGACGGCCCAGGATTTCAACCCAGGCCTGTCTCACTCCAAGGCCCAGACTCATGCATGCCCAACTTAACTCATGGGACGGTTGTGAGGAGTTGATGTATAAGAAATCCTTTTGGAAATTGGAAAATAATTATAAATGTAGATGATGATGATGATAATTGTGGGAATATTGGCAGAAATGAAACAGTTATAATTGAATGCATACTTTGCAGCTGGTACCTAAGATTAGGGGCAGATGGAAAGCCTCTTTAATGCCCTCATGGAGTGTGGCATGGGGCACAGAGGGATACCTGTCCAAGGACAGAGTGACAGATCAAGGGAAGGAAAGATGTCGAACAGGGATGGAGCATCTTATTTCTATCAGGAGCCCTTTTAAAAGCTCTTCTTTAAAGAAAAGAAAAGGAAAGTTTTCTGTAAAGAAAAGAAGACTACCAACAGGCACCCACTAGTAGAAAGCAACTTATTTTAGTATTTTTAAGAGATCAAAATATTGAACAACCATATTGTCTGCTTTTAAAATTAAGAACAATAAAAATTAATCTATATTCAAAAGATACAACAAAGACTGAAAGTGTGATAATGGTAGTGTTTATAAGGACTGGGGCAATGGGCAGCCTCATACATCGCAGGAGAGAGAGTTAATTGGTACATTTTGGAGGGCAATTTGGCAATGGAAAGCTTTAAAAATGTGGGAATGCCCTTTGGCCATTCATTCCTTTTCTAGGCATTTAGTCTAAAGAAATAATTGGACAGGTGTGAAAAGATATATATACAAGTGTGTGCTTTACAGAGTTCTTTATAAGAGCACAAAATGTCCAACAATTGAAGATTGGCTAAAGACGTTATAGCACACCCATACAATATAGTACTAGGCAACTTAAAAATTCATAGATTTTTATATGTTGACATAAATGAAAAAGAAGATTAGAAAAAATTATGTATAGTATAGCATTTTTAATAAAAATATAGAATTTTTGCACAGAAAATATGAATAAATATGAACTAAAATATTATTAGTGAGTATCTCTGAGTGATAGGATTGCAGTCTCTCCTTCATCTGTACTTTCTAATTTTTCTATAGTGAAGACAAACTTAACAATTTTCAAAAGATAAAACAAATAAATTCACCTTGGTTCTCAATTACGACCAATTAAAGTGGGAGAAGGGAGAGAGAAAGAAAATGAAAAGGAAAAGGACAAAGGAAAGGAAAAGACAGAAAAGATGAGAAGGAGAGGAAAAGAGGTGGCTGGAAGGAAGCAGGGGGAGGGAGGAAATGAAAGAAATGAGGACTAAGACAGGAAAAGATCAGGAGGGGTGAGGCAGAAGAGTATGGAGTAACCTCTGAGGTGAGGGTGTTAATCGGATGAGTTGTTCTCGGCACATCTTGCAGTTGGCATGTGGGGAGGGTATCACCACCTCCCCCAAGATCTTATTGGCTCTCTGGCAGTTTAGAATCATCCTTTTTTGTGCTAGGAAATAGCTTGTTTTAATTTTTTTAATTCAATATCTATTCTAAAGTATTAATTTATATTTGTGTTTATTATGCAAATAATACTTATTAATTGTTTGAAAATCAGAAAATATAAACCAAAAGATAAATCAATGCTCCACCATTATACATCATATTCCAGAGATAACTGCTATTAATATCTATTGTGTTTGCTTCCCAGCTTTGTTTGTTTCTATAAACCTAAGGCCACCTTAGGCCTTTTATGACTTCTCTCTCATTGCCTTTTTGAAATTAAACTTTTTATTTTGTTTATTTTTATTTTTCTGTGTGTGAGGAAGATTGGCCCTGCGCTAACATCTGTTGCCAATCTTCCTCTTTTTACTTGAGGAAGATTGTCACTGAGCTAACACTTGTGCCAGTCTTCCTCTATTTTATGTGGGACACTGCCACAGCATGGCTCAATGAGCGGTGCTAGGTCTGCACCCAGGATCTGAGCCTGCAAACCCTGGGCCGCAGAAGCAGAGCATGTGAACTTAACCACTATGCCATCGGGCCAGCCCTAAACTTTTTATTTTGAGATCATCATAGATTCACATGCAGTTGTAAGAAATAATACCAAGAGATTTCAGATAGATTTTTGTTATACAACACTTCATTCACGCAACCACATATACTGCCCTACAACCGGCCGTTATCACTCAATGGTACAGCGTAAGTGTATTTTACATGAATAAATCCACTTCGATAGAAAAATAAGTTTCTTTATAAAAGTAACAAAACATATAAAAGAGCTAAGGAATAAATTTAAGAAATATTTGCAACTCGAATGGTAATACAAAACTCTACTAAAGGACATCAGAGTAGGATAAAAGGAAAAAACGTATCTTATTCCTGGATCAACATGCATTTTTTAAACTAAAGATTTCTTTCTGTAGGTTATTCTGAAGATTTTGTAGGGATGTGAAAAAATTATTTAGGTTTTAGCAATACAGAGTAATTGAGAGTCTTAAATAAGTTGTGTAATTTCCTGGCTTGGGGCCGGCCCAGTGGCTCAGCGGTTAAGTGCGCACATTCCACTTTGGCAGCCCCGGGTTCGCCAGTTCAAGTCATGGGTGCAGACATGGCACCGCTTGGCAAGCCATGCTGTGGTAGGCGTCCCACATATAAAATAGAGGAAGATGGGCACAGATGTTAGCTCAGGGCCAGTCCTCCTCAGCAAAAAGAAAAAAAAAAAGAGGAGGATTGGCAGATGTTAGCTCAGGGCTAGTCTTCCTAAAAAGAATACAAAAAAAATTTACTGGCTATACCCCAAATTTCCTCTGATATTGAAAACTGGCTGGACTCCTTAGCCACACTGTGTATTCTGAGAGATTAAGGCGATTTTATTCCACAATATCGAAAGGTTACATCTGGACTAGTATTTATCAGTTTGTTTTGAGCCTTTTTCAGTTCAAAACCAATTTTCAATCTAATTGGATCACAGAGTAAAAATTAAAAGGAAAAAAAAGCAGTGGAAAAAATGTTTCAGTGTAATCTTGATCTAAAGAACTGTGGCCAGAGTAAAGTCTCTTGCTGTTACTTGCTGTAGTTATTGTTTTTTCTGTGTGGGTTTTTATTTTTTTCTGTTTTACAGAAAAGATAAGGGGTTTCCCTACACAAAAGGAGAGTTGGAAAGACATATACCAGAGGTTGGAAAATGGCTGCCTGAGGGTCACATTTAGCCTATGGAAAAATAAAGTTTTTTGATCTATCCAAGCATTTAAAAATCTTTTAATTAGTTGCCAACATTTGAAAATCAGGAAATTTGCATAAAAATATGGATTTCTGGTGGAGTGGATCTTTCCATAGGTAGTCTAAGCCCATGTCCAGATAACAGCAAAGCAAAAATTTTAGAAAGAAACTATTTTAATTTCAGCACACATGTAAATTTTGTGTAATTTTGAAAAATAAAATTTTATTTGTGCGTTAGAAATATACCTATTTTGAATATTATTTGGAGAAGGGGCATCATAATCTTTTCAGACTTTGGGCTTCTAAAGATCTCCTTCTGACCTTCATTTCCAGTTCCTCTTTAAGGATCAGAAAATGTGGCCACACTGGGCTGAAACTCACAGTTCTTAGCCCCCACCAGATAGGCATTCACAGTTCCCACCACTTTTTGGTTTTCTTATACCCCTCTGGTCCACTCGTCCAGTCCACTCATTCAGGTTACTTGTCTGGCATCTGTGATGTTTCAGTTTGGGGTCCTTGGCACATACCAAGACCAACAGGGACTTTTACTTACTCTTTCGGCCTTTTAAGTAATCAGGGTCAACCAGGACTACACCATCTGTGGAGAGAGGGAGAGATGGCAGGCACCCTGGTCAGGAAAAGTTCTCAGACCATGAGACAGAAGTTGATCCCCGAAATGGTTCCTCCCATTTTCCCCTTAAATTGGCTTCCTCTTCTGCATGGTCCTTTCTTGGCTTTCTTTCACTCCTTCTCTCCCATTCCCTTCCCCTCAGGCTCTTTTGTTTTTTGGACTCACTGACCAATGGGTTCCACTGTGTCCACATGATCCACGAAGTCCCGTTTCCCCAGGTAGATGGAAAGCTGTTGTGGAACAACCTCCCATGTTATTTTCATAATCATCTTTGAATGGATCCCTTTGAATCCCCCAACCCAAACCTCTGAGACCTTGAAGGATATACCCACCTATCCCTTTTACCCTCTTATTTGCCCAGCTGGGCCAAGTTCTCTCACCTTCCCATTGGAGCAGGTCTTCTTAAACACTCTATGAGGAGAAAATCAGAAAAAGGATAGGGAGAGGGATTGGGAGAGAAGGGAACAGGAGAGGAAGGGAGAGGAAAGAAAGGTAAGTGAAGAGAAAAGGAAATACTCCTGGGATTAGGAGAAGAGGTCCAAAGAGCACGAAATGGCACAAAGGTAGAGAGAATTGGGGTAGAGTCCAAGCCACAGTTGCAGAGAGGTTGGAAATCCCTCTACCCTAAAGGCAATTACTTGAGTTTGGGTAGGCGACAAGTCACAGAATCAGAGAATTAGAAGTTCTTACTTACTTGGAGGTGTTGGCCATGGAGTTGATGTTGAGCCTTTTCTGGAAAGAGGGAAAGAAGGAGGAAGGCTCAGTCATTTAGTCTTTATTCTCCTTACCCGACTCTGGTATACCACCCAGACACACCTAGTGAGGTGCAACCTTTCCTCCTTAGATAGATACCTCACCACCATCAAGTGACTCTTATTCTCCCTCCTGCCAAGGTTACTTATTCAGCCATACTCTCACCCATCCTGGACATGGGGAAAAACACTCCTTATTTTTTACAAATTGTTGACTAACCATACTGTCTATTCTCCAGAAAGGGCTGGGCTTCCTGGAATAGCTGGGGCACTCTTGAGAGCCTTCAGAGAGAAGGAACTTGTCTAGAAAGGGGCTGGAGAGAGGTCTCCATCCAGAAAAGTGTGAGGAAAATTGGACTGGATGAGGCTGGACATGATCTGGCACACAGAAGGCACCAAGACGTGTTTGTGAGATACAAGAATGAATGGATGAAAAATGGATTCTGTCTGCTTTTGCTCCTGCAATGGATTCTGAGCCTGAGTTCAAATCACAGTGGCCTTAATCCTCAGCTAAGGAAGAAAGATGTGGGAGAGAAGGGGTTGGTGCCTTCATGCTCTTGGTTGTTGGTGGCAGAAATCTCTATGAAGGTTGAAAGCCTTCTTTGAACCCATTCATCACCTCCCTAGATTTGCCCATCCTTATCCCCATCCATGTCCCC